ATCATATGGTGAGCTCCTTCACTCGCGGCATCGCCACCGCGCCACCGCCCAACGAGTCCTCTGTCATCACCACTATCGATCTCAGCGAGGCCCAGGCAAAGTTCGGGGCCCGGCAGCAACCTTCGCCGAGTGGGACAACCAAGACCGGCGGATTCCCGGTAAGTTTGATTGCACCTGGAACCTGCTTTTGCGGTCATTCGCTAGCAAGAATCTGGCGGACTCTGGGAGCCAAGAAAAGAAATATTGGGAAATTTATTCCAGTGAGAGCCATATAATATATATTTAAAGATTGAATTTAATTACATGTGAGTATAATAAGCCTTTGGATTTTACAAAATCTGAAGTTTCTAATTCCAATTTTATCTGAGAGAGAGAGAGAGTGCCAGATGCGATCATCAAAAGAGCCACACCTGGCTCGCGAGCCATACGTTCCCGACCCCTGGCCTAGTACATGGGGAAACTTCTTTGATTGTGTAGTGAGTGTTTAGCGAGCTAAGCGCGGCGGCTTAATGGACGAGCCTTCTTTATGCGGATCTTTTTGTCGTGGTACAAGGGGTACCAAAGCACGATATTTATTATTTAAAATACTCACATAAAAACATAAATACTCTTCAACATTCTGTCCATTAGACGATGCACAGGTTTCTCAAAGTTTTTCCTCAATTCCAAACATTTTTATATTCTTCCGTACTAATGCTGTTAAGTGCCTTCAGTGATTTCCTTTTCTTAACTTCTTTTACCTTCTTAATTTTTGAGCAATACGAAGTTGCAGGGGGGGCGGGCTAGGTCGGGTGGAGTGAGAAACTGTTGTCATGCCATTTATTGCTAAACAAACTGGTTGATTTGAACACTGTGTGGGCAGCCGCGTTGCCATGGGGAAGCAGCCAGCCCCCTCTCACTCCGATCAGCACGATCCAGATCGGTTTTCTTCTGACTAGTTCACGCAATCCTTTCAACCCTTGCAGGCAGTAATGCTGGTCCATGTTGTGATGCATGACAGAAGGAACAATTTCAGTGTGAAAAACTTCTTTGATCTCGCAAGAGTAAACCCTCATGAGCGCTTTGCTCTTTAAAGTTTGTCATCGTAAAATCACAGAGGGCGTTGAGGGAA